TGAAACCGTCCTCTGGGCCGACTCGGGTTGACGCCGTGCGCTCGAGGCGCCGTGCTTTTCCGGGTCGAACTGCTGAAAGGCGATCTCCACTCGCGGCTTCCGCTCCGTCATCTTCCTCTCCGAAGCAAAGCCGAAGCCGAGCCGAGTGAAATCAGAAGTTCACAGCTCTAAGGGTGGATTCCCTTTCCGTTCTTTCCAACCATCGTTCTCGAAAACCGGCCGGTTCCCTGGGTTTCCGGAGGTTTTCTAGAAAGATTCGGATCCCTGGCAAGAATGGAAATGGAAGGTAGCACTAGAAGAGCCAATTCTTGGAAGGTTTGGCAGTCGCATCCGACTTCCCTCCAGGGCATGAGTCGAAAGCTACCGTGCGGCTCAAGGCAACCCGGTCCTTCCCACCATGCAGCCTGGGATGGCGGACCATGTCCATCAGCTTTGGTTGGGGCAGGGTTTGTACCAGGTTCGTTGGACTTGTTTGTTTCGTAGGCTGGGCGTTGAGGGTTACTGCGGAGTGGGTTGGGACGGGTTTTGGGTGGTGTTTAGGGTTCGCTCTGGGTTGGTTCAGGATGGGATTTTGCGTGAGCACAAAGATGCGTCGGTTGTATTTTGGGAAGCCTGTCCGCTACATGCAGGAGAAAACGACTGAGACAAGCCAAGCAAAAAAGTATGGATGTACGTTTGAGACAAAATGGTTGGAAAAATGCAACTTGCCAATTTTGAGACACTCCTGTCAGGCGTACACAGATGGGGGTGGCCCCAACAACAAAAAACCAGCCAGGGCACCGCAGGTTTTGGTCCACTTTTCCATTCACCAGGTTCCACGTTGGGCCCTTCTTCTTTAGACACACATAGATCTCAGCAAGCCGGAGGCCGCGTGGCGGAACTTTCCAAAGTTCATCGTCCCGCTGCCATCGTCCGCCTCGGAGCGAGCGCATCAGCACGCTACCACGCTAGGCTTGCAAGCATCGATTACAAACGAACTTCTGCCCCTCGGCTTTGCGGGCGTCGCTTTCATGGTTTCTCCCCACAGACTGCCTTTGAAGACTGGGATTGATTGAACGCGCTCCTCTCCAATCTGCTTTTCGGGGACTGCAATGCCGATGTAGGGACGCTTTGCTGAATCCTACCCCGCTCGCATTTTCTTTCGACCCAACGTGTGGCCGTTCAACCCTTGCAGTCAATTGCTTTCAATCCGCCCCGCAAGCTTGACTGCGCCATCATCCTTTGTTCTACCTGTATGTATTTGTCTCTAAAACTAAACTGTTACGATAGACATGCAGCACGGGTTGTTTTGGGGACATGAAGCTAAGTTTTGCTGGAAAAGGCAGTGGCAAGTGCCATCTGTCTATGCTGCCAGCATCGATGTTGCTTACACGAAGAAACGCAGAGTCAGGCATCTTGCTTTGTCTATCTACATCAAAAGAATGAAACAGTTGCAATGTGACATGTTCAGGCGCCGTGGTTGCTGACTGGAACTTTGGTCACGAAAGCCAGCCGATCATGCGATCCCCACCCCGCCTGCGCGATCATGCGGTCCACCTCCTCGAAGGAGTCCTTGAAGCCCAGCTTCCGCATGACCAAGTGCAGCTCCTGGCGGACCCTACCCGGAAACCACGGAGCGTGCAGCTTGGTACCCTAGGGGTGCCGTGATATCGAAACAGCGGCAAAAGTCAAATGGCAAGGGAAACCACAGGGAAACAGCGTGAAAAATAAAGTTTAACGCTTTTTGCTCGAATTTGAAGGAATCAAACGGAAACTACCATTGTTGCGTTCCCCGACAACCATGTTCGATGCATTGTTTCTGCTCGTCTTCTAGCCAAGCGACTCCAACAACCCCTCCTTCCTGCAGCCTCGTTGGGCAGGCTTAATGTGGATTCCTTGCAAAAATAGAGGGCCCTTGAAAGATTTGGCAGCTGGACGTTTCCCCATAGCTGATCTCTTAGAGAGCATTGTTCAGCTTTCGGAATCAAGGCTAAGTACATGTTTCGTCTCTGGTTGAGTGCCTCCAGTTTTTTCATGAAGCCAGTGTTCGGTGAGGATTTTCTACCTTACCAATTTCCCAATGTCTCCTTGGCGTTGATTTCGCCCGAGCCGGTGGTATCACAAATGTCAAAGGCAGCCTTGATCTCCTCGCGCAGTGAGAAGCCGGCCACCCGACGCTGACGCACGCCGGCTTTCAAACTCAGTGCTCCCCATTGTGTTGGGTCCGCGGTGAAGAAAAAGCTCAAGCCTGTCACCGCCGATTTGATCAGCATGGCAGCATCAGGAGTGCTTCGCTCCCATATCCCCAACTTCCCAAAAAATCCTTCCCACCCTCTCCCGCCGCCCCATTCCTGCAGGACGTCACCGCTCATCGCACCAGCCTCAAGAAACGTGCGAGAATCTGCCATGTTTCAGTGCGATCTCTGTCAAAACAAGTTTGAATGGGGTTGCCATTTCACCTTCGCTAGGATAGGGCTCAACATGTTTCCAACAAGATAGTCTCAAAAGTGCACCTCTGTTTTGAATCTGGAATCCCCGTTCAATCAGATCCAGCGCAATGGCTGCTAGTCCACAATCCTCAATCTCGTGAGGAGTTCTGCAAATGCTCGCTGAGCTCGTGGACAAGTCCTTGTCAGCTCCTTGTGTTCAGCCCTAAGGAAAAAGGACATGCCACTGAGCTGTGCTTTTTGGGGAAGTATCCCAACCTTTGCAAAGCAAAGCCAACTGGTCGGTAGAAACTGCGTCGAGTTCTGCGCTTTTTAAGTCTTAGTGCTTCGGGCCTTATGGCTCGCCGCTTTCGACGGACGCGCCTCCTGGGCATCCCACTCCTGGCGCTGGTTCAGAGAAACTTGGCCACGGCTCAAAGAAGTTCAGCCCGCGTATATATATATATATATATATATGTATATATATATATATATATAGGCTTCGGCAGGCTTCGAATGGTCGGAACCTTGTCTCGATGCCCAAACTTTGCTCCTAACATATCCCACCTGCAACTCATCATTTTGTTCGTCAAGTCAACCCCGTTTGCTGAAATACAATCGGTCTCTTTAAACCTCCCCCCGTTCGCGCCTGCCCTGAGTCATGCTTGCCTCGGCGAAGAGAAACCAGCACAGACCCCTTCCACGTCTTCGAACCCATCCAGTGAATCGCCCCTCCCCTCCTCTGGGATTATCTGTAGGAGTCGGTTGGTTGAAGAGCGGGGGAGGCCATAAGACAGCAAGCATGCTTGTCAAAGCTATGGCTCAAAACTCTGAACCCTTGTGGATCCACTGGCACCAACAACCTGGTTGCCAAAGAACGCCACTTCGCTGGTTCTTAAGACGGCAAGCTCCTTCCGTTTCAGGGGGTGTCTCTTGAAAGGTCGGGTGTTTCCCCGTCCTAATGGAGAAAAAAGAAAACAAAAAGAAGAAGAAAAAGGAAGAAACAATTATTTACAGCTTAGTTTTGTTTTTAAAAAGGAAGAAGAAAAACACCCGGAAAAAAAATCAATTAGAACATGTCCAACATCCCACACCCCACTGCTGAGCTCCCGCACCTCCGTCCTAAGCTGAGAGTCAAGGGACGTTAGGGACCCTCCCTCTTTGGTATCAAGAAAACTGGATTCGATTCGCGCCTTTTTGATCTTCGGCTCCCTCCCTCCCTCCCTCCCTCCTTCCCTCTCCCTCCTCCTCCTTCCTTCCTTCCTTCCTTCCTTCCCTCCTTCCTTCCTTCCCTCCTTCCTTCCCTCCCTCCCTCCCTCCTTCCTTCCTTCCTTCCCTCCCTCCCTCCCTCCCTCCCTTCCTTCCTTCCCTCCCTTCCTTCCCTCCCTCCCTCCCTCCTTCCTTCCTTCCCTCCCTCCCTCCCTCCCTCCCTCCTTCCTTCCTTCCCTCCCTCCCTCCCTCCTTCCCTCCCTCCCTCCTTCCTTCCTTCCTTCCTTCCTTCCCTCCTTCCTTCCTTCCCTCCTTCCTTCCCTCCCTCCCTCCCTCCTTCCTTCCTTCCTTCCCTCCCTCCCTCCCTCCCTCCCTTCCTTCCTTCCCTCCCTTCCTTCCCTCCCTCCTCCCTCCCTCCCTCCCTTCCTTCCTTCCCTCCCTTCCTTCCCTCCCTCCCTCCCTCCTTCCTTCCCTTCCCTTCCTTCCCTCCCTCCCTCCCTCCTTCCTTCCCTCCCTCTCCCTCCCTCCTCCTTCCTTCCTTCCTTCCTTCCTTCCTTCCTTCCTTCCTTCCTTCCTTCCCTCCTTCCCTCCTTCCTTCCCTCCTTCCCTCCTTCCTTCCCGCCCTCCCTCCCTCCTTCCTTCCTTCCCTCCCTCCCTCCCTCCCTCCCTCCCTCCTTCCTTCCTTCCCTCCCCCCCTCCCTCCCTCCCTTCCCTCCCTCACCCACTCACTCCGTCCCTCTCCCCTCCCTTTCCTCCCTCCCCCCACCTTCCCTCCCTGAGCCTCCCCCTTCCTTCCTCCTATCCCCCTCCTTCCTTCCTTTCCCCCCCTCCCTCCGTCCTTCCTTCCCTCCCTCCCTCCCTCCCATCCCTCCTCACTCCCTCCCTCCTTCCTTCCTTCCTACCCTCCCTCCTCCTTCCTTCTTCCTTCCCTCCCTCCTTCCTTACCTTTCCTTCCTTCCTTCCCCTCCCTCCCCTCCCTACCTCCTTCCTTCCCTTCCCTCCCTTCCTTCCCTCCCTCCATCCCTCCTTCCTTCCTTCCCTCCCTCCCTCCCTCCCTCCCTCCTTCCTTCCTTCCCTCCCTCCCTCCTTCCCTCCCTCCCTCCTTCCTTCCTTCCTTCCTTCCCTCCCTCCCTCCCTTCCCTCCATTCCTCCCTCCTTCCGTCCCTCCCTCCCTCCCTCCTTCCTTCCCCCCCTCCCTACCCTCCCCTCCTTCCCTCCCTCCCCCTCACCTCCTTCCTTCCTTCCTTCCCTCCCTCCCTCCCTCCCTTCCCTCCCTCCCTCCCTCCTTCCGTCCCTCCCTCCCTCCCTCCCGCCTTCCCTCCCTCCCTCCCTCCTTCCTTCCTTCCTTCCCTCCTTCCTTCCTTCCCTCCTTCCTTCCTTCCTTCC